AAGTCATCCCTGAGCCATGCCTGGCAGCTGAGGCAGAGGAAGGAGGAGGATGATGATGATGAGCTCCTACATGAGTGCACACTCAGCTGCTGTCACACAGAAACACACATTTCTCTTCCTGTTAACTGCAGGATTCCCTCTCCTCCTCCTCCTCCTCCTCCTCCTCTTCTTCCTCATCTTTCAGATTTCCCTCCATTTCCTGTGCTGCGCAAGCAACTCTTCTTGGACAAGAGAAATTCTCTCAATTTCTTATGTGCATTAAAAACACAGAAGCTGCTACATTTGGCTGTATTAATGACAACAATGCATCAACAACCAACCGTCACTACTCACTGCCTCACACACACACACACACACACACACACACCCACACAGAAAACTCTGTATCCAATGATCAATACTGGGGTCTGACAGATTATACGCTATAGAAAATCATAATTTATCCTCAATATACACACTGCAGATTACAGGCTTAAGTCATGTGTAAGCCTCCATCACTTAATGACCTGTGAGGTCTGATAACATCAGGAAAACAGGTCGGAGTTAAGACATTGTCAAGGTCAAAGGTCACATGTGACTTCAAATGTAGCCTGAATGGATTGAAAAACAAACCACACACACACACACAGGTTTGTTTTGCTATCTTTATGGGGCCTTTGCATTGACTTTCATTCATTTTTCATTCATTTCTATAGCCTAACCATGACCTTTATCCATAACCTAACCATTACCAGTACCAGTACATACCTAACCCTAAACCTAACACATCCTCAATTCACACCTTAGTCCTAAACCTAGCCCCTAACCCACCAACGGGACTGCTCCTTATGGGGCCCGGGCTTTGGGCCCCATAAGGAGCAGTTGGTCCTCACAATGCAGTATAAGTTGGAAAAATGGGCCTCACAAAGTAGCATAAACAAGGACACACACACACATACAGTGCTGCTGCTGAGTGCACATCTTCAACTGTGCCTTCACTCTCTGCAGATGATGTGTATTTATTATTGAACAGCGTATTGTTGGAATAAAAGTTCAAATTAACCACTCAGATCATGCTTTTTAACTAAAGTAGCCACTGATGATGATGACTTTTGTCATTTACACGATGTTTTGTAAGGAGCATGATGTTAAATAGTTTAAGTAGCATCATTAAGTAAAAAAAATCAAATAGACATTGAACTACAGTTATAAATAAAAGCGTATTTGGTGTTTATATAATTCAGTTACTGGTATATACACAAGCGGCCGGTCTAAGATTAAGATAATACAGCTACAGAGAAGAATAAAGTTTTAGAAAATAATTGATAATATTAAAATGCAGTATATAAATATATATAATTTTTATGTTAGTATATATTTACTATATTAATGTAAAGTAACTGCATTCAAACAACTAAGCAGATAACAAGTTGCAAAAAAAGACAGGAAAATAAAGCAATTAAAAAAATAAAAGATGATAATCACTTTG